TAGTACACAGTAGCAGCAGCAGGAGTAGTAGTAGCAGTAGTAGTAGCAGTAGTAGTAGTAGTAGTAGTAGTAGTAGTAGTAGCAGTAGCAGTAGCAGTAGCAGTAGCAGTAGCAGCAGTAGTAGTAGCAGCGGCAGCAGCAGCAACAGTATCCCCTAGTACCGCCAGCCCTTGATCCTCCCCCGTGGGTTCGAAGTATCAATAGCACCAGGGATAGTACTGGTCCAAATAAAGCCAAGTGCAAGCTTTCTTGCCCCCTAATCAAGGAACTACTATGGAGCCTATGGGTAGCCATGCCTATGGAAACGCGTCCCTGAACCCAACAAATTCAGCCCCAACCCTGAAGTCTCAGGGCCTGAACGCTGCAACCCTAAAGAACCCTAAACATGATCAATAAGCTGAGAAGCCGACCCTTATAAACCCCTGAAGAAACGACGTATTAGTGAAGCCCAAACTCTGAAACCCTGATGAACACAGAATCTGAACCCCTGAACCCCAAGCCCAGATGTCCGGAAGCTAGCAGACCGTGAACGACAAACCCACCGGACCTTGTGAATGGCACTTCTTGCTCGGAGGGCGCCACTGCCACATCGCGCCTGTAAGCATACGGTTGAAGAGCGAGGCTTCTAACGCTCCTGCTGTAAAGGTTCCTGTAGGTGTTCACACAAGTGTGCATAACTTCCCTGGAGCTTTACATGCACGAATAATGTAAGGCTGTTTCAATTCACGGGAGTGACGACAGTTGAAAGTTTGTTTTTTTGTTGTGTTTCTTGCTTGAGGTTGCACTGTGGGATGTAGCGTTTGGGATTGAGGTTGTCAGGCGCTGTGGATTGAGAGGCGAGACGTTCGGGTGCACATTGCAGCTTGCATCTTTGTGAATGGGTAAGATGAAGGGGGTGGTCTGCACGAGCAACTGCGTGATCTAGTAGTTTAGGGCTGAAGTTTACATCACATGATCTTACATGTAACCTCTCTCGGAGTTTCTTGTCGCCCATCTGCAGGCGAGAGTGTGATTTGTGGGGGGGAGATGGGTGGGTTTGGGTTTGGATGAGTTGACAATGCAGGCGCCTTATAAGTAGAAGACGCTTGTCTTGTACATTGTAGCATAAATCCGGTCAGTCAGCCTGAGGGAGAGTAAAGGGAATCCAAGGGTAACCTTTAGACCCTAAATGTGCGTCATGACCTTATCTGCGGATAGCAGATAATACCCGGAAGTCCGAAGTGAATTTAGGGCCAACTTGGGGCTGATCTACCCTTGTATTACAGGACAGGGCCTGAGTAATCAGATCTTCATGCACAGGTTCTGTAACAAATATTAACAAATATTGTCATTCGGGTTTAATACGAGCCTTTAATGTTGAGAACATAGGGGCCTTTAAGCTTTAGCCCTGGAACCTAAACCGTAAACCCGAACCCTAACCCTAAACTCCTACACTCCTCAACCCGAAGCCCTAAACCCTAGGCCCTAAACTCTTAGACTCCTAAGCCCTAAGCCCTAAACTCCTAAACTCCTAAGCCCTAAACTCCCTAAACCCTAAACTCCTAAACCCGAAGCCCTAAACTCCTAAACTCCTAGGCCCTTCAACCCCGACCACCTAAACTCCTAAAGTCCAACCACCGTGGAAGCTCTCTGAGGCATAAACCCTAAACCCCAAACCCTAAGGGCCTGAAGTCTGCAGTCGACCTTTACACCCAAAGATGATTCTTCTACGGTTTAGGGTTTTTCTTTGGGGGTTTACGGTCTAGGGAATATTATTTTTTTTTTTGGGGGGGGGTTAGGGTTTAGGGTTTAGGGGCCTTAATCATTAGAATAGGATTTGGGGGTATGTTATACTATAGGTATAATAAGGAGCCCCCGAGACGTTGTTCCAATTACTACGACCCCTACATTACGTTTCATTGTTTAGGTAGGGGTTCCCTAAACCCTAAACCCTAAACTGGTGTGTGTCGGGATTAGGCGATTCGCGTTGGGGGTTTCGAGCTATGCGTTTGAAGCCTGGTGAACCTTGCACTTGCACTCTCTGAACGTCCAGAGTTCCATTTGGCTGCTTGGTGCAGGGTTGAGGGTTTAAGGTTTTGTTGCAGGAACACAGCCGGTAGAACTCTAAACCCTAAACCCTAAACCCAACTCAAACGCTAAAGTCTGAACCACCCAACTCCAAACCCTGAACCCCTCATTCCGAGACAACAGCCCTTCACACCTGCCTCTGCAAATCCAGGTCAATGGCCCCGCGCAAGTAAGGCATCACTCTACACACCGGTGGTGCCTTTCAGGGTCTAGGAAGAGCAGAGTTTAGGTCATAGGGTGTGGGGTTAAGGGTTGTTGGGCATAGGGTTGGGGTTTCAGGTTTAAGGGCTGTCAGGGCTTGAAAAGTTAGGAAATTCCCAAATATCAGGCCTGTCGTCGGAGGTGGGTTTCGACCATACCCTATAGGGCTCGAGCTACCTGAATAGTAGGTTACTAACCGTATAATATGTAACCCAGCAAGCCACCCAGCAACACATCATTTATGTAACTAGCGGTCTAGGGAAAAAAGGGTTTTGAGGCAGGAGCGCACTGGGGGGTCCGAGCTCAACTGGCTAGCAGTCATCTTGGCAGGATTTGGGGCATGCATACTAAAACCTAAACCCTAAAACCCTAAACCCTAACCCTAAACCCTTAGAACAGGGCTTCGGGTATGTTCGAGTAGAGTTATAAGGAAAACTAGGGAATGCTGTTGGTAATTTAGGGTTCTATATGGGGAGTTCCGAAAATAGGTGACCCTAATATAGTACCCTAAATAATAGGATCCCTATAAGGACCCCAAATAAGGTACCCTAATTTTCTGAAACTCCCATATTAATTATGGGGGTAAGGCCCCATCATATTAATTATGGGGGTAAGGCCCCATCGGCGGGAGGCCAAGGTAGGTTCAAGGCATAAGACAGCGCCTCTGATCCGATGGCTTCCGCCCTAGCATAGGGGCCTTGATACTTAGAATAGGCTTCCTCGAAAGGCGTGCTGTGTGTGTGTGTGTGTGGGATTGTTTGTTCACGCGGTTCTGGAACGGTTGCCAGATACTATCAGTGTTTAAAATGGGTGCCTCCATAAACAGAATCAGAGTAGGGGTTTGGCATCAAGACAATTATGAAGGAACCTGAGGGAGAAATAGTTGAAATCATCAATGGGTCCAGGGTTTAGGGTTTAGTCAAGACCCGTAAATTCTAACACATCACACCCTCGAACCCCAATTCCACACCCATGACTCCTTGAGAGTCAAGTCTTACAAGAGCTCGCTGGAACAGCTGATGGGCAGTTTCAAGACTGGCACTGAAACTTCGATGGAGCGAAACTGCAGAGAGCCACGACCATTCCCATCTGGATATGCCAAGCCCAGGGATGCCACAATAGCCCGATGAGGATGCCCGGCATAATGGCGGAAATGATGACAGCATCATAAAGCTACTTTTGTGACATACAGGTCGAACATCTGCAGCATAGCAGAACAGTTCAAGGCTTTCTAATCGCAAGGCGCTGACATACCACAATGCTCGCATGCAGTGGTGCTGTTGCAGCTGTAATGACGAAAACCATGAAAAGCTACTGGCAGAAACTAGTACCGCAGATGCAGCCAGCATACAAAAGTGAACAACAGTATCCAGATATCACCCATCCATCAGAACGGATCGAAACTGATAAACCAGACGGCAGACGGAAACGACAACAAGAGTGAGTGTGCACACTTTTTGGTGCTCGTAGATGGAAAAACCTTGAACGTGATAGCCCTGACGACAGTTCAACACGGGAGACAGAGCTTGTTGATGCTGGCAAGCGTGCACTGAGAGATGTAGTCCGCACATACCAGCAGGTAGCGCAGCAAAAGCAAGCAGGTGTCGGAAATCAATGCCTAAACCCTAAACCCTTATGATGTTACAAAGTAAGCAGCTGCCTGAAGCACACAAGGCGTGGCAGCACCAATACATAGCCCCCAGCTTGTAAGAGAAGCAGAAGCTCTGAAAGATGTGCATGGACCATGGCTTAAGTTGCCAAAGAAGCGGAGAAAACCCAACACCGGTTTAGGGTTTAGGGTTTAGGGCTTAGGGTTTAGGGTTTAGGGTACCAATGGACCAAACAAAGGCACAATTGCAACAGTTTTGGAGGTCAAGAACAAAGCATGTGGGAACAAAGGGCCCAACAACGAGGGCAACACCACCAGTTTGCCTGATCTTTTACTAGGTTCCCCAGTAACCCCTTAATATTAAGGGTACCCTTTTTCCTAATGTTTGGTTTTAAGAAGGGAACGCAAAAAGAAAAAGGGCAAAAGGGTACTACTTGGGAACCTAGTTTAGAAGCTCATAGTCCACCAAGTGCTGACAACAATAAAGGGTCTCGTAGACATAATGCGATGGCAACGCAGACAGCGATGCGACGTTTACATTACTGTGCATGCTTTCTTTTTTATCCTAAGCCTGAGAAGCCGTTTGCATGAACACTTGATCTCACATTACACTTTAGGGTCTAGGCCTTTGAAACGACGGATTTAGTTTAGGTCTGGGGTTAACTTTGAAACCCGAAAATCCCCTTGCACCCTCGATCCGAATCTCAGCTCGGGTTTCATCAAGATGCCGTGGTCCGCCAAAGATTGGCATGGTTCACCATCGTCGCAGATATGGCCTGCTAGCAGCGCACGGCTTCAGGGTGTGGAGTGTAGAGGTGCAGACCGTTGCGGGTTGCGGCTTAGGGCGTAAGGTTTAGGTGAAGGTTTGCTTCTGACGCACGGCAAGGGGCTTAGGGCTTAGGGTGGCTTGGCCTGCTGCGGCGATGAACCGCTTCGTCATTGCTCTGTGTTCTTCAGCCAAACCCAAAGGGCCAAAAAAAAACCTACACCCTGAACCCCAAGAAGTCCTGCCTAGAGTGAAGCAAGAAGCCCTCAGAGCTGAATGAACCACTGTGTTGGGTTTTTTTGAGGGGTTGGCAGAACTCTCTGAGTGCACCAAGCATGCATGTCCTCAACTCGTCGTCACCCTGGCAAACAAACCTGCCATGTGGCAGGCAGTTTAACCAAGGGAAAGACCGCCGGCCAGAGGATAGTCCGATCCCTGTGCTGGAAGACTTTCCATCTGGTAGCGGAGCGTGAACGGGAGCTCAGCTCTCCGTTACACACCTCTATCAAAATTTGTGCCAGCTCTTGGATTTTCGGCTGAGCACTACACAACTCTACGGGCAAATCTTCACTTGCAAGTCCGCAGAACGCCCGCCTCTCTACAATCGACTGCACGGTGCGCTGCAACACGTCAGGACTGGAGATGGAGTTGTGGAGTAAGGCACGCAGGAGGTCACGCCACGCCGACGGTGCGGAGGCAGAGACATCGGAGGCAGAGAAAGCCGGCGCGGCAGGGACATGTGGTGGGCTAAGTGTGGCCCACCACGATAGAGGGCCCTGCGCGCGTGTAGCAGGCCTGCGGAGGAGCGGAGTATCCGCCACAAAGGTAGTGGGGACGATGTCTGCTGCCTCGACAACCCGCAGACAGTCCGTCTGTTTCTGCAGATGTTGCCTAAGCCGCTTCGTGCTCCAAAACTCGACCTGGCATACAGGGCACTGGGACCCATTCGCAACCGCGGTTGCGCGTGCAAGCTTGCCGTGCACTTTGCGCTGATGCGCAGCACACGCAGCTTTGGTGCCGAAGCTCATGTGGCAAATGCTGCATTCGGCACCAGGGCAGGATAAGGGAGCGCAGGGAGGATGATGAATAAACAAACACCCATGATGTCGCGCCAGATGCAGACTGCGAGCCTCCTGCATACAAACCTCCTGCCGCTGCAGCCTGCTACTCCTGCACCGTTTAAGATAGCTTCTGGCCCAGCGGCAAGGCGAGGGTCCTCTCGTAGGGCACCCCAGACACTGTCCTGGCAATCGAAGCTCCTCGGGCACACCTGGAGCAGGGCATCCGCGACCTCTTTATGCCATGGGCCCCCATCCAGCCAGAGGGCCTCAAGCTGAGGCTGCTTTTCCGCAAGGATCCAGCCCAGTTGACGAACCATCTCCCCCGCCCGGACTTCCTCGGCACTGGCGATGGCCAGGAGATCGCACAACTGTGCATTGGTCACTCCCCGGACGGAGATGCCAGTGATGGAGCGTAAGAGACGCCTGGGGATTTCGTAGAATGCCGCCTGGTACCTCGCCCCTTCCTTGCATGTCACTCTGAAGGAGCCATAATCCGCATCCATGCTTGAAGCGTGCCATCGGCATGGAGTGGAGTAGCTGTGTGCGCTCCGGCACGGTGAGCTCATCATTCTTGAAAAGCCGACGCAGTCCTGGCAACATGTCCCGGCTGAGCTGAGCTCGACGGGAAATGTCAGGTGTGTCCTTGCCGGTAGAATCAATAAGTGAGCCTAAGTGCATGTAGCCGTCCGTGATGCTAACAAGCACGATGTCCCCATTGCTGAGGCGCGCCGGCATCTGCGCCCCGGACCTGCACAGCCAATGTTGGCGGGCTGCCCGGCTGCCCCTGCCTCGTAGAAGAGGAAGTAGTTCAGTCTTTCCTCGATCAAAGTTGATAGCCACCCCCATGGCTCTCAACTCTTGGTCCAGGCTGTCAACCGCGGTGGCGGTGAGCTTTATCAGGGCGTCAGGGGTACGTGCCAAGAGGGGGAGTGCGAGGTCGTCCATCCAGCTAGGAGCCGGCAACTCAGCCAAGGCCCGCACAGTGTCCCCCGCGTCGGCTGCCGTCTGAACCGCTTGGGCTGCGTGATGGATGCGGCCTTGCAGTCTTCTCATCGGCCCGGAAAAAAGAAGCTGGAATTCGATGTCTGCTATGGGCGAACCTGGGGCTGTACCGGTCTGCGTGCGGAAGGTGTGTGTCTCTTGCGTGCCCCCGACCACAAACCAAGTCGAGTTCAGCATAGAGGCCAGAAGGCGGCGCACCGGAGTGGGCACCCCTGCCTCTTTCAAAAGTCCAGGGCCCAGCGCAGCAGTGACGAAGCGAAGTTGTTCATCCTCTGTCTCAAACTAAGATTGTGCGTTGTGCTTAAGTTAAGATATAGATGTTACTAGGAGGTTAAGTAAGTTAGCTAAAAAGTTAACATAAGTTAACATAACTTAACATAAGTTAACATAAGTTAACATAAATAGTAAACATGCCGAAACGGAGAAACAACAACAATGGAGACGCAAAGTGGTGTGGGTGGTGTGTGTGTGTGTGTGTGTGTGTGCTGTGAGTGGTGTGGGTGGGTGGTGTGG